GACAAATCAAATATGCTGATTAAAACCTAGGAGCAATAAGAAATCAAAAGACCTAACTGGCGAAAATTAGATTGTGTAGAGTTTATCAACCGATGATTCGGTATCCCATTGCAGTGTTTTCAAACATGATTTCAACGAAAGTCGAAAGCGGCACATGCTCCACTTGGGCCAAGTTCATAGCCTGAATCACCAGCTTTAGTTCAGCTGATAACGTCCTGATACGTATGACTCGTGGCCGTCCGCGATGAAGAGCCAGAGCCTCGGCAGAGGACTCAAAACATCGCATTCAAGTGATAGGCGGGAAAAAGCAGGGAAAGGTGGGGTTAAATCGTGCAAAAGAAAAAGGAAAAGAAAAAGAAAAAGATAACCGTAGAGCCCATTGGTTGCATTTGCGAAGATTGGTGTTCATTCAAATTTAGCCACAAGGCTGCCGCCATTCCAATCGAAAAAGAATCATCCAGATGGACAAACCTATGTAAAAAGTATGAAACTAAGCTCTCCAACAAAGTTAGCATCTATCCTTGTATTTTTCATCACGGACAGAAGCAATCTTTGAGGAGTTGCCAGACGAAAATGGAAGCAGAAGGCCTAGCTCATTCGAGTGCACACCCAAATTGTGCTGACCTTTGCTGTTAAATAAGACTGTTTCCATTTGTATGATGACAAAACTTCCTTTTACACCCGCTGATGTCTCTTTACTCAGAAAGATGAGTGCATTCTGGAATCGGTGGCCACGTGGATTAATAAACAATAAGTCCGCAATAGCTTTAGACCAAAGCCTTAAGGGCGATTTTAATGTCCTCCTCTGTTCCATAATAGGGTCTGATACTAGTTTCTGTCTACGCGGCCAATTTCCCTCATGCGCGCTAGAACAATTAGTCCACAAAGCTTCTTGTCATCAAAAGCTTCTAATATCTGGCTCTGCGCAGAAACAGGACTTCACCAGTCGGACTCATTAGCCATCTGCTTGGGGATTAAAAGAGGTCGAATGAGGGAAGGAATGAGCTAGCCTTAGTTCTGGATTGTCAACAAAATGTAGATACGAAGAGAAACTTGGTTTCGATGAATCTCCTGAGCTAACATTGTTAAGGGGATCTTCATTTCGTATGAAAGTGCATAAAGAAGAGATTCGTTGGTCGATCTCACCAGATGAGGACGGATGAAAATATACTGCAGCCGGTTGGATTGTATAGGATATTCATGTTGACGCAGTCCACGGGACTTCCTCCC